AAAAGTGTTGCCCCCTTCCTCATTTCCTGTTCCTTTGCATGTTTGTCCACACTTAAGGTGTTTCGGAACATCAAACCAATTAAAACAATAGTCAAGGACAACACAAGTAAACACAAAATTGCAATTTGTAAATGAAGGTGTTTCATTATTAAAGGTGAAAAAAAATCCAAAACCCATCATGGCCCTGGGTGTGAAAAAAGTGTTGCACCACCTAAAACCATAAATAACTGGTATGGACCACCCTTAGCCAGAGCAACAACTAGGCAACAAGCTGTTATTGCAAAACCCGATCAAACGATTGCAAAGGGACTATTACAGCGTCCTGGAGAAATTTTGGAACCACTCATCTTATGCAGAATTGTCACTATTCAGATTAACAATTAGAGGGTTTATCAGAGCAAAAAATGAACGAACTTTATTAAAGGTCATACCAACAAACCATTCCAATAGGATTCAAGGTCAGGACTTTGGCTAAGGAGCACTCCAAAGTCAATTCATTTATGTTTTTACTATCAGCCATATCAAAAAGCGTGGTGGAAACATCGTGGGTGTGTTTAGGATTCATTCTCCTGTGCAGAACCCAACGTTACGTTTATCAGGCATTCGACGTACACGAACAGCATGGATCGGAACTATTCTCCTTCAGGAACTCATCCTTTCAAGTAGGACAGCAGATTCATCTTAGTTCCTTAATCACTGGCAAAGATCATACTTCCAGAGATCATGAAGCCCACGGGCAAAACAGCCCACCAGCAACATCACACTACCACCACCAATAACATCTTATACTGGTTGGATACTCAATGTATGCTTATTATGAAACCTGCAGATAGTATCCCCTTCTTACGCAACAGATTCACAACTGGAGACCACAAACAACCTTCCAAAGACGTTCCACTTTTGTCTCATCGGTCACACAGAAATGTAATGTCCCAAAAGTATCATTTGGGATACAATTCAAGATGTCCATTTGTGAAAATCCTGAGACGGCATTTGATATTCATTATCGCTCAGCATGGTACATTTACTCCTTGAACTCATGCCATGCAGGCCACTTTATGCACCAAGTCTACTTAATCACTGTCCATTGGTGGAGGCAACAAACAATGACAACAAGCTGACCATTAACATAGAGCAAGTGAGCCTGCAGTTCTCAACCAATTGGACGTCTGTTGTGGGGGTCTATTTAGTAGACATTCATTGGACATGAGTCGAATCGCTACGCGCTCTTGGAGTAATTACACTATGGGCGGACCGCCACTCATGGAAGTATCACCACATAAATATACTGTCTATTCGCACACTTTGTGAACCTGATAATGGGCTCTCAACCATGTGAGTTCGCTGGATTCCCAAAGCTTATGGAAACATAATACAATGGCTTCATATAACTCTCTCTTGTGTGTGTGTGTGTGTGTGTGTGCGTGCGTGCGTGCGTGCGTGCGTGCGTGCGTGCGTGTGTGTGTTGGTGCAGACACTGCCTCTGTGTCTGTGTGTGGAAACTGTGGTTTGACCAAGCATATAGTCTCAAACCCACCACTGACTTGTTCTGCTTTTTTTCATGTGTCTTTGTTGTTTTTCTCTGCACTTGTTTGGTCAGAAATTGCACATAAATGTAAAACATCAGACACATGCATTAACTTTAAACATGCAACATCTCATGAATCTCTCCAAAAAACTAAATCAGCGTCCAGAAATGATGCCCTGTCCTGTTTTAAATTAATTAACAAACACTTAAAAAGGTCAAATACAGCGACCCATGAGCAGCTTGAGATGGGAGGGTGTGAGAACAGTCACAGGATGTGTGATGATGTTTTTGTCCATATAGACAGTGACACATAGAAGTGGTCTGACTGAGTAACACATACATCAGCATATACAAACTTAACATCATAATGCAAAACAAGAAATGATAGAAAATCTCCAGTTTCTCCAGTGGAATTTTTATTCACACATTATCACAGTTGAAACTTTTCATATTCATATTTACAGAAACTGAGGAAAGACTTAAATGTCTCCTTAAAAACAAAAAAAAAGTTGCATTAATATCAACTATTTCCTGCATCCTTGAGGTCTGCAGTAATACAAATACATGGTACGTCTGACGAGTGGTACACCAGCCAGACAACAAGTCACTGCGATACAAGAAGCATTATTTATGTAAATTGCTCACAAGAAATAAGATAATGATCATTCACTTCTCTGGTTTCACAGAAGTGAATGATCATGCCTATCAAGTTTAGTATTCTTGTTAAATTTGAGGTACAGTGTGCGCGTTCACACCAAAGTTTTGGTTTCTGTCTTTTATCTTCTGTTTTAATCAAACCTCGTTGCTTAATCATTTATTGCTCCACTGTCAGTAAATGATAAAGCAACAAGGTTCAGCAAAGGACAAAGAATGTCAATAAAAACGTACAGATGACAGATTTCTGACAATAGGTGAATAAAAACAGACTCATTACTATTATATTATATTATATATTACAGTTCATTTTATCATTAAGCTGTATGTTTATCACTTTAATCACTGCCACACGCCCAAAATCTGTCTCATGTTAATACTGCTAGTTTGAAATGTTACATAACCCTAAATATAGTCCTTATGCTCTTATCCAACTTAAATGCTTATGGTTTACGTTACCATGAAACTTGCTTAAAATATATTAATAAAATAGCCCAGTTAAAATATATATTAATGAAGCAGACCAAAGTCCATATCACCTGAGTATGTCTTAAATTCACTGGAACAAAATGCTGTTAAATACGGAAGCACATTGCATTCACT